CCACTTAATTCGAATCGCGATATGAACTAGTGTCTGTGAATATTAAAATGCAAAAAGACGGTTTAAATATGAATCCTGCATGTTCCGCTTGCCTCTGTATGTATGAATGCTGGAAACACGGTTTTGTTTACTACACAAATACTGAAGCACGCGTGACGCTCGCGGTGATTTCCGGCCTCTGCGTCTCACTATGTGACGGCATGAACACAAACACTGTATCTCAAGAGCTGCTGTGAGAGTCACTGCGCGAGAATTTAACCGTTTCATTTGAGAAAACTAGCATCATCATACTGTATACACACAGAAACTTCATGGCAACCTGTCAAAATAAAAGTACGGTTTAACACAAAAAGACGGTTTAAATATGAATCCTGCATGTTCCGCTTGCCTCTGTATGTATGAATGCTGGAAACACGGTTTTGTTTACTACACAAATACTGAAGCACGCGTGACGCTCGCGGTGATTCCCGGCCTCTGCGTCTCACTATGTGACGGCATGAACACAAACACTGTATCTCCAGAGCTGCTGTGAGAGTCACTGCGCGAGAATTTAACCGTTTCATTTGAGAAAACTAGCATCATCATACTGTATACACACAGAAACTTCGAGGCAACCTGTCAAAATAAAAGTACGGTTTAACAGAAATATATTACTCTTGTATTACTTTTGTACAGTATAATGTACATCTTTAAACATTCAATTTTCTATCAAATTTAAATAAAATAATTAAATGAAAAAAATAGATATATTACAACCAGATTAATCACTTAATTGTAGAAAAAAAATAATACAATGATTAGCCTGTTAAAATATTTTAAAGGAATATTCACACAATTTTTCTTCCATGTATTAATTTCAACAGTAAACCTCAGTTTGTTTGCCAAAAAGTTGCTTTGATGTGTAGGTGATGATTCTCGCTCGCGATTGGTCGCACGCACACATCAACAGAATCAGCACACGTGACGTGCACAATGTGACAATGCTTCAGGGTTAATATTTATTACGATACAACTGTGTTGGATGCTTCTGTTTTGCACACTGTAAATCTGTTATATGGCACACCATGTTACATTGAGCATGATTTGTCGTTTGTGTTTTGGATAGTTTATACCCTGAGAGCACACACACTGAATACATCACATATATTTAATGTCTGCATTTACATCTGCAAGCTGTATTTTTTAGATTGTTCATTTGCAATATGTCTCTAAGACGTTTCCTATCAGATGTTCAATATATGTTTAGAAAAAGATGTTTATGATTTAGAATTTCTAAGACGTTTATCAGATGTTTGTACAGATCAAGCGCTGTTTTATGTTCGTACATAAATTAGGTTTTTGGTTTTTATGCCAAAAATAATGTAAAGTGTCTAAAACGTTTGTTCATGTTCAGTTCAACTTTACGATTATATTGACAAAACAGAAAAAATATTTCTGTTACATAGAAAACAAGCGTTTCCCGGCTGGTCTCAGACTTCTGAAGGCCTCGTGTATATTATAAATGAGATGCATGTGAAGTGATGCAGTTAGAAAGCAGTGTTGTTTTCCATCTCCTCTTCCATTATGTAATGAAAGCAGTGACCGTTCAGTGCGTGAAACGTCCAATATTCAAAAAGTTGTATTTTGGTTAATTAAGTGCATCACGCAGGTATCTGAAGTGCACTTGATCGTGTTGTGATTGTAGGTGTGAACACACTAATCATGCTATTTATACAGAATACAGAGCATGTGAATTGGGACGCACCTTTGTCTTATTTAGACCTTGTCTTTCCTACAGTACATCTGAGTTCTATTCTATATAGAGATATGCTCTAACTCTACAGCCATAGCGATAATGACACAGGAATTATGTTGGAGTCACTTTAAGAGTGATTATTTTTTGATTATTGATTGACAGCCAATCAGAATCCATCCAACATTAAAGAGCTCAAGCATTTAAAGAGACAGACGACACAGCTGCAGTGCCATTAGAATAAACACAGCATTATTGTCTGTTGCTGTGGATGCTAATATAGTTCATATTTAACATTAAAGGGGTCATATGACCGATGAGCTTTGTAAAAATCGACGCGTTTCAAAAAGGCGGGGCATAGAGGAGAAACAATAATGTACAGTATGTGGAAAATAATGTGTTTTAGCAACATCATATGACCCCTTTAATTGTAGTTATCATTCTAGTTATTATATATATCTATATATTATAGGTTCTTAGTGTGAAGAGGCCTTAAGTGTTTTGCAGATGTGCTGGAATCATTCTTTAAAATGACACTGTACTTCAACAAGATTTCAGCTGTGATTCTCTCTCTCTCTCACACACACACACACACACACACACTCGCTCACACACACACACACACACTCGCTCACACACACACACACACACTCGCTCACACACACACACACACACTCGCTCACACACACACACACACACTCGCTCACACACACACACACACACTCGCTCACACACACACACACACACTCGCTCACACACACACACACACACTCGCTCACACACACACACACACACTCGCTCACACACACACACACACACTCGCTCACACACACACACACACACTCGCTCACACACACACACACACACTCGCTCACACACACACACACACACTCGCTCACACACACACACACACACTCGCTCACACACACACACACACACTCGCTCACACACACACACACACACTCGCTCACACACACACACACACACTCTCACACACTCTCACACACACACACACACACACTCACCAGTCCCGGTGTGAGTGCTCGATCTGCCGTCTGATTCTCAAACACCGTCAGCTCATAAATCTCCTGAATGTCTGAGGAAGAAACACACAAACTTCATATTAAAGAACCAGAAACACACTGACAGCCAAAAGACTGGAATAATTAAGATGATTTGTTTCTGAAAGAAGTCTCTCCTGCTCACCAAGGTTGCATTTATTGATCAAAAATACAGTAAAAAAATGTGAAATATTATTATAATGTAAAACAGCTGTTTTCCATGTGAATATGTGTTAAACTGTAATTATTTCTGTGATGCGCAGCTGTATTTTCAGCATCATTACTCCAGTCTTCAGTGTCACATGATCTTCAGAAATCATTCTAATATGCTGATTTGCTGCTCAACAAACATTTCTGATTATTATCAATGTTGAACACAGTTGTGCTGAACAATATTTTTGTAGAAACTGTGATACAGTTATTTTTCAGGATTCACAGATGAACAGAAAGTTCAAAAGAACAGCATTTATTTGAAACAGAAACCTTTTGTAACATTATAAATATTTTTACTGACACTTTTTATCAATTTAATGGTAATGTATCAGTTTCCACAAAAATATTGTGCAGCTCAACTGTTTTCAACATTGATAATAATCAGAAATGTTTTTTTGAGCAGCAAATCAGTATATTAGAATGAGCTAATGAAAACAGTAAATCATTTTAATTATTCCAGAAATATTATTAACTGCTTATTGTAATAATATTTCACTGTTTTTACAGTAGTTTGATCAAATAAATACCGCCTTGGTGAGCAGAAGATATCATTTCAAAAACATTAACAAATCTTAATTATTCTCGTCTTCAGCGTCTCGTCTGCCAGCAGCGAAACCTGACGGTGACTGACAGCTCCATTCATCCTCAGCGACCAATCACACGCTGCTTACCTGCCAAGCCCCGCCTCCAGTGACCTCTCTAATCTGATGATGTCACTCGTGTAAATCTCCCAATGACAGATTACACACTAAATATAGAGTTCACACTGCCACTCACTGCTGATTAGCTCTGTGTGTGTGTGTGTGTGTGTGTGTGAGTGTGTGAGAGAGAGAGAGTGTGTGTGTGTGTGAGTGAGTGAGTGAGTGTTACTCACCCAACAGAGCCTGAAACAGGTCACTCTGAAAGATGGTCAAGAGTCTCTCAGCGCGACTCCTGAAACCTTCATCACCTGCTGATTGACAGGCTTCCATCGCCTGCAGCGCTCGCTCTGTATCTGACACACACACACACACACACACTGTGTTAAACACACACATGTAACAGGGTGCAATGTGCCACTGTGACCCTGAACATGACAGACACACTAACAGCACCTAATAGCAACATATGAGAGCATCACAGAGGATACGGACCTAAAACATCACACACACACACACTCACTCACTCACTCACTCTCACACACACACACACTCACACACACAGACACACACAGAGCTGAACGTGTCTCACCTTCTCGTTTGAGAGGCATGTTGCCCGTGGTTCTCTCTGATGTGTGTCTGTCTCCAGCTGTCGTTTGATCCTCTAAACTTAAACCTCTTTAGGGCTTTGAGCTTCTGCCCCGCAGCCTGCTGGGAAATGTAGGCCGTCTGTCAATCAAGCACAGCATTCATCAGAACAGTGTGAGTGTGTGAACGAGCCAAACTCGCCGGTATGATGTTTGAGTCTCAGTGATCTGGCTCGGAGTTTTCAGCTGTTTTCAGGTCCAGCAGCAGCACACATGATCTGAGGAATCATTCATGACTACAGTACAAACACACACACTCAGAGACACACACACATCACTATCAGCACTAGGACTAGTGAAGGCTGACTTAGTAAACAGCATACTCATCGGTGTCAACATCTACTTCTATAAGAAATCACATCTGCACGAGTGTGTGAACGTCATGATGCTAGAGTGCCCTCTCCTGGTGACTCACACACACACACTCTCACACACACACACACACACACACTCACTCACACACACACTCACACACACACACACTCA